GCCAGCCCAGAACCGAAGTTGACATGCCCAGCTGGGGGGGAATGCAAATACACACTTCCCCGGCCCAGGGCGCCCCCGAGAGAACCGCAAATACACGCTTCCCTGGCCCAGGGCGGCCGCGGTGTAACGCGGCGCCAAAGCGGCCCCCAACGGCCCGAAGACGCCCCAAAAGGCCTCGAAGGACACCAAATAAAGCCGCGCAGCAATCCGAAAACACGAGAGATGTCACATGTCACGGACCTCTTACAAGTCAAAAGCTCCACGCGCCGCCATATAGACCACTGCTCCGGCAGGGGGGCGGACCTTGCCGCAGGCACTTATAATTTACATGTTAGCGATGCGACTGTGCTCGGCGGCCGTGCCGCCCAAATTTTGGGTGCGCCCCGAACTCTCGCATTGGCAATCCCCTCTGTTTGGTTGCGCCGCTGTGCTCGGGTATCGAAAAAGCATTTACCGCTGACGCGGGCACGCGGCACCAGGGACTTCACTTTTCGAACAAGGAGGGTGGACGAGGTAGGACGACGGACGGTGGAGCAGGGAGGCAAAGAGGAACGAGGAATAATAAGGGAGGTGGGAAGGGGCGCTCCCCCGCCCGAGCCGCGGACGCTTTCGACACCATCCAGGGGAGGGAAGACAGGAAGGGGAACGGAGCAAGGGCGAGGACGACGACGGGAAGCAAAGTGTCCCAGGTCCGCATATAGCCATATGTCTGCGATTCGGGTGCGCGCGCTTTCTTCGAGGCACTTCAAGCCGGGCCCATGCTGAATTCACGAATTCCTCAAAACTGTGTAAACACTCTGTCCTCTGTTCCCTCTCCTATACAACGGCCTCATAACAGAGGGGCAGTGGACTCCAATCCGCTGTGGTGGAACGCCGAACGGCGTCGGGGCTCAGGAGGTTCACCAACTTCAGGGGCCACCAATCCAAGGGGCGAACATGCTTGACCCATACTCTTGAGGCACTCGGCAACACAGCCTTCCATATTTGCTGTAGCAAGCGCGACCTATCACTTCGATGGTATGCCTTCGCAGCGAGCCAAAAGTCATCTTCAAGATCAGGCTGCAGGAGCTGCGCAGCCTCTCGAAGGCACCGCCGAACCGGTGAAGAGGTCGTGTCCACGAATTCCAACAAGATCTCGACTCTGGATCGGGAATTATCTGGGATCTCGAGCTCTCGGGGGACAGACTTCTTTGGTATGCTGCAGTCGTTCCGCGTGACCCAGGCTAGGAGGCGGTGTATCGGGGACAAGGCTTGGAGCAGCACGATCATGTTCACCGCAGTGTCGCCGCGCTTCAAGAAGTCATACGTCTTCTTCACCCGAAACCCTTGGAGCATCTGCCACGCGTCGTCTTGATTATCTTGATGTTTAGCCCAACTGGATGGACAGCAAGACGCCCATGCAGCGTGCATGGCGACCCCTAAGAGCACCCCCCTGGCTGTCGGAGGACACTTCCACCACCTGTTGACACTCGGGACCGGCAGTTTCCTTTTGTGGAGAAGACGATGTAATAAATCGATGGCATGTTTCACAGCAGCATCCCGACATTCCTGGCCGCATTCACACTGGTCTGTTTTGCAATGAAAAGCGATTTGTCCCGACACCCAGCTCCCACACAAAGCCTCCGCTGCGTCGATCATGAGCTTCCGAACCTTGGGCTTCAGGTGCACATCTGGCAAATTCCCTCCCACTGTCATTCGTAAGATCTGATCCTTGACTTTTCTCTGCTCTCGATCATTGCGCGGATTATGGAGAATAAGTAAAGCATCGCGAACATGTGCTTCAAGGTTATGGCCAAGCGACGACCAATACGAACTGACGTTCATGGCGCTAGCAGCTCGAAAAAGCTCAGTGAGAACATCGTGCATCTCGCGCAAGGGAATCACACACCTGTGCAATGAATGTATCGTGCACCTTTGAAAAATGAATATGGCGCCATCGTGATGTTTCAAAAACTCGTCTGCTGCGAAGGCTGCGGCGCGCCGATTTGAAGAGGCATCATCACCAACCATAATGAGTATGACCCATGTGGAATCTTGTGACCTCATGCCTGGAGCCGTTGACCATGGCCCGAAAGGAGGTTTGTTACCCATAGCTTTCCACAAGGTCTCGGCCGTAGTCCTTCTAATATATTGAAGCTCACAAACCCATGGCTGAGCTGACCCCATCATGTTCGTATTTATCCATGCTGCCATTGTCATAGCATGTACCGTCTGCACAGTAGACAGTTGTGCATCTCCAGGGGCGCTCGCATTACAATGAAGACGCTGTTGAGTCTCGTCCCACTTCACCCTTCGGGGGGGGCTGGCAAAATCATCTCCCTGGCCCCTTGCCCCCTTGCCTTTGCCCCCGGCCCCTAGCCCAGCCTATCCTATCCTCCCTCCAGAAGTCCAGAACTTCTGAACTTCTGGAGGGAGGAGGGAGGGGACTTCTGGACCAGAAGTCTCCTCCCTCCCTCCTCGCCCGTAAGGCCCTTGCCGTAACCGCCCTGCCCTCTCATCTATCATTTGCGGCAAATGGTAGATGAGAGTGCAGGGTGGTTACGTCAAATAATTTGTCTCGTCTCGTGCCCACTCCCTCGCCACTGATGGGGGCCTGGCCGGGCCAGGGTGAGGATTCCGCGAGGATGGGGGCGTGGAGCAAGTGGGGGCCAGGGGAACGGCGGGTGGATTTTGTTGTCTACGCCTGAGACTCGTGATGAACATTTTACCAGGCTGCGCGGAAGCGAGAGCTTTTCGGAGAGCTTCGGCCCGAAAGGTTACATATTTCCAAATCGTCGAATCCAACACGAGGTGCAACGAATACGGAGTGAGCCCGAATTTGTCTTGCAGGGCCGAATCTTGGGTGGATTTACGAGCTGAAACAAACGTAACATCGTTGACGAGCTCAAAGGGGTAGAAGCTATATTCACTCACCTCTCTGGGTGACTTCAAATTGAGGGTTTCACTCAGGATTCCCCCCTTCGACCCGGGACCCCTGGAGACCCACCGAGGGGCCTGATAGGCCCCAGCTTCCAGGAAGGCTGCCAGCCCGAACAGGCCCAACCCCAAATCCCAAATCCCAAATCCCCAAATCCCCCAACAATTTCAAGCCACCCCGGACCGGGACCGATGAGGAGGGCCCCTCCTCCCTCGCGGCCCCCCTCGCGGCCTCAGACCGCTTCCGGAGAGCGACGCGAACAGCTCGAGCCACTCGAGCCCGATCGCCGCCGCCGCCGCCAGGGCCAGGAACACCGCCGCCGCCGCCATAGGGGGCGCTGCCTAGCAGCGGGCCGCTGCCGAGATTTGGGCGACGAGATCTATACATATCCACTGCCCCTGGCTATGGGCTATAGGCAGGCCCAGGAGCGGTGCGTGGCGTGCCTCCCTGGCCACGCCAGGCGGGCGCATATCGCATATATATATATATATATAAATAAATAAATACACATACAGATATACACCGCTCCTGGGCCCAGAAATGGGCATGGCCAGGGGCAGTGGATATGTGCAGATCTGGTCGCCCTACAAATCGGCAAATGGGGGTCCCCGCCCTGAGGAGGAGGAGGAGGAGGAGGAGGAGGAGGAGGAGGAGGAAGATGAGGGGGAGGAGGACGAGGACGAGGAGGAGGAGGAGAAGGAGAAGGATGACAATGAAATAATTAGATAATGGATAATAAGTAGGCGGAGGAGGAGGAGGAGAAAGAGAACGAGGAGGAGGAGGAGGAGGGGGAGGAGGAGTCTCAGGAGACAGCAGACAGGAGACAGACAGAAGAACTCAGAAGAAATGGAATGGACCAGGAACCAGGACCAGGAGGAGGAGGATGAGCAGGAAGCAGGAAGGAAGAGGTTATCCCGGCCAGCCTGGGCCCCGCTCGAGAGCAATCAGCTCTCTGAGCTCTCTGAGATCGCCCATTGGGCGATCCCCTGAAGCCAAAATGGCTAGGGACCCCTCTTGGCCTTTCCTCCCTTCCTCACTCCCTCCTCTCCCTTCCCCCTCCTCTCCTCTATCATTTTCCACCTCCTAGCAGTCTTGCCTTCATGAGGGCCTCGTGAGAAGACTCCAAGATGGTCCCAAGAAGGCTCCAGTATGGCCCCGAGAGGTCTCTTACAATGCCAGAAGGCTACAAGGAGGATCATTTGGAGGAGAGGACAGACAGAGGAAGCTGTAACTTTTACACGACCAGCAGTATACTTTTGTATCCAGAATCACTGACTTACTCGAACAAAATACCGTACTTATCAACCATAAAGTACTCGATTTCATAGTCGCAAGTCCGATTATTCGGTGCTACAACTTTCCAGAAGAGTTTTCGAGAGGTGCAACTGCCGAGAACAGAGATGATACCCTTAAAAGGCACATTATTATGCTTTGAGTCTGTCTGTTGGTCAGAGATCGGGCTCTGTTGGGGGAGCCCCACACGGGGTGAAGACAGTTAGGTTTTCATGTTGGTTTTCGGACCCAGGGGGGGCGACACTTGGTGTTGCACTTAGATCTTGGTGAGGACATTTCCTGATCAACTTCACCATTCGCTGAAAATCTTCTTCAACCTCCTCCCCATCCTTCTTCTTCCTCCTCATACTCCTCCTCCCCGTCCACGAGTAAAGGGTTTACGGAGGGGGAATGAGGGAGAAGGGGGGATGTACATAGATATTGGGGTAGTAGGAGGGATGGGCACCATTCCAGGCGAGAGGAGGGAGAGGGGGGAGGAGGGGGTGGAGTAAAGAGGGACAGAGGGAAAACATGAGGGAGGACACTGTAGGTGCAGAGACATGCTAAATATTGTAGTCTTTTTCGAGGGGGTCATTGGCCATTCCCCACATGTACAGGGGGAGGCATGATGAATACATTATCGATGTGAGCCTTATGGAGGGGGTCTTGGTTAGCAGGGCCCTCACCCCACCCAGTGTCATTTTCGATGGGGGCCTTCCGAAACCCCACCCATTGTAATTTTCGATGGGGTCCTTCCGAAACCGTTTTGGCTCAAACCAGCGACGAGTGGTTCCGCTGAGAGTCCTCCGCGATGTTGATTAGTCAATCAGTTGTTATCCATATATTTGCTGTTCTTGGGTTCTCCGAGTTCGGCACCTCCATAAGGCTTGACTCGTTCAACCGCGACGGCATCTCCAAGGCCGACGCCTCCATATTCGTCGACTGGTTCGACCGCGACGGCATCTCCAAGGCCGACGCCTCCATATTCGTCGACTCGTTCGACATAGACGGCATCTCCAAGGCACTCGCCTCCATATTCGTCGACAAGCCTGATTGCTGCAACAACACTTTCGGCAGCGAGATCGGCACGACTGGTGGCAGCGACTCTGACACTACTGGCATCGGCGCTACTGGCAGCGACATCTTCACTACTGGCAGCGAGATCGGCACTACTGGCAGCGGCATCGACACTACTGGCACGAGTACTGGCAGCGAGTTCGGCACAACTGGCGACAACAGCAACATGGACATGGATCAGTTCGAGGAGTTGGAGGTGGAGGAGGCGCCAGCTCCAGCAGCAGCAGCAGCAGCTCAGCAGGCGCAGCTCCCTTTCGCGTTGGACCAGTTCGAGGAGTTGGAGGTGGAGGAGGCGCCACCAGCAGCAGAAGCAGCACCGAGACGGAAGCCATCGAGGTCGGCCGAGGGCGTCGGCCACGCGAGGGAGGTCAAGTTGAAGAAAGCGGTGAAGGAGCTCAAGCAGAAGTTGAAGGTTGGGGTGGTGGGCTTCAGCGCGCCTGCGACGGTTCATCCGCACCGTCGCTTCGCCAACCCAGCAAGCTGGGTTGGCGAGGTGGGGGGTGGCGGATGAGCAGATGCAGGCGCGAGGAAGCCTTGCCCACCTCGTGAAGGCGGAGAAGGCTTCCCACGAGGCCATCATCAGGAACGTTTCCACCATGGTGCCAGGCTCGGAGCTGATCACTGGGAGACCTGGGACGGCGTTGGGGAGGAAGCGCAAGATCGAGGCGTCTCGGATATGACCGAACTCACCTGGCACCCATCGCCCCTTGCCCCCATGCACCCCTCCCCCATCGGACTTTAGGGGGAAACGCGGGGGGGGGTCGATGGGTGCAGGCGAGTTTGGTCATCGACAGGCGGGCGACTTCCAGCTGGCCACGCGGGCCGTCTTCCTCGAGCTCAAACGCAACATCAACATCGGAGTGAAGCACAAGCGCATCCAGACAGTTGCTTGTGCAGTTGCTCGGCTGCGGCAGGAGAAGGCTCCCAAGCATTGCTTCGAGAAGAGCGCGGTGGCCATCGAGCTCTCCGGCGACAACATAGTTCATGCGTCTGGAGGACACATGTGGGACGAGGTGGAGGTGAAGCAGGCGTGGCGCCCGTCGAAGAAGTACCGCGTACTGAGGAAGAACGTTGCACAGCCAACATTGGTGCAGCGCACCACCGTCAACCTGAGCCTCGTCAACCTCAGCCGCAAGGAGGGGAGGCAGTTTCAAACGCATTGGGTATCTCAGCCCACGGAGGTCGGCGGCACGAAGGCGATGCATTTACTTCCTGGCATTCTGAAGGGCATGCCAGAGCAGTGGGATTTCCAAAAGGTAGCGAAGCTGACCGAGACGCTCGGCGCAGTATCGAGCCTGACGTTCATGCCAATGTGCGACAAGGCCAGCAGCAACGTGAGCATCATGAAGATGTGGGCGGGCGCCGAGCAGCAGTTTAAGGAAGCGTTGCCCGAGCTTGGCAAGAAGTTGCTGTATTTTCCAGATACGTGCGGTATACATTCACACCACCGCGGCAAGCTGGCACTCAAAGGACTACGCCCACACACCATGAGACACTATTCGATAGCGTCGATGTCTAGATACAGAGGCAACCTCTCGCGGTGCATCCACGGCATCGAGAATATCGTTCAGTCTCAACTTCATCGAGAGGTTGGCCCAGCCCCTCCATTCCCCGACACGCTGGAACGAGTGGCGGACTTCCTCTACGACTTCAGCGCTGGTCACCACAGACGACCAGGCAAGGGCGGCAAGGGCGACGGCGAGTCGCAGCTTCTGAAGGACCTGAAAGGTTTGACCGCCATGGCCAACGGCAGCCTTACGGCAGAGAAGTGGACGCACTGGTGTTGGGGCGCCTCCCTGCAGCGCCCGTGCTGCAGATCGCTGCAGGACTCCGTGGAGAAGACGACGGTTGCAGCAGTCCACGCTCTTTACGGGAGCGCGGATCCGCGGCCAGCCGAAAGCCGTTGGACTCATTTACTTCCCAGCTTCAAGCGCACGTTGGTACGCAGAATCCTACACAGAGTTGGGCTGGACTGCTTCGTTGATACCATCAAAGAGGGCGAGCTCGACAGACTGGACGGGCAGCAGTTCGGCGTGGATCAGGAGGGTACCGACGCGTTCTTCAAGCACATCATTCGGGTGCGGACCAAAAAGGTAAGGGACTACTACGCCGACGACCGCAACATGTACAAGTTAGTTGTATTCACGGCCGTTCTCGAGGCCAGCGATGGCAACTTACTGTATCCACTTCTCGGCGATGCGATCAAGGATAAGGCCGAGGAGAAGAGCAAATTGGATACGCTCCTCGGCGAGGACTCCGTCATCGGGCGCTTCAGCCAGGACATGCTGGGCCTTTTAGATTCTTGGAACACTGGAGATCGTACGCGGCGCCCGTGGATGCTACTTGATATTCTTGGCGCGCCCTTGACCGACCAGGTCTTTTCAAGATGGGCCAGGGGGCAGATTGTAAAGCTGACCACGGTCATGCATCGCAGGTACGAGAGTCGGTTCATCGCCTGGCCTTATAGGCTCTACCCTTTATCACGCGGCCGCTCCACGGAAGCAGACAAGAAGAGGGTAGCTCGTGAGGCACTCGACGCACCTGACTACATGATCGACTGCTACACCAGGGGGATCCGCAACCTCTTCCCGTCGGACGCTGCATTGTTATCAACGCACTGCCGAACGGTTCTTGCCGCCGACTTCAGGGCGCATTGCTACGGGACCGACATGATCGAGAGGCTGAACGCGCTATACACAGCTCGCCACCCAGTGCGCGCTCCAGGCAGGAACGCGGTCAACGCAGAGCGTGAACATTTCTTGGACCAGGTCAAGGCCATCCACCAGAAGCAAGGCGGCGACGACCCCCTTGCAGTACGTAAGTTGGGCAATTCGTCGTCAGTGGAGGCGGTCACTTACATTCCTTTATTGGACGGCGCTTCATTCGGTTCGGTGCCAGTTCTACCTGCCCTCGGCGATGCGCCTGCTCCGATGGCGATCGAGGATGCGCCTGCGAACGCAGACGAGCAAGCCATCGTCCCAGCAGCACCCGCAGCGGAGCACAGGAACTTCGAGGAGCCCATCGTCGCGCGCATCCCGAACCCGAACCTGCTACCAGGAGACCGCGCGGCCAGTGAAGAGGCCGATGGCGATGGCACCAAACGCGGGCTTAGCCGATACATGTTGGCGAAGAATCGGCACCTCGAAGATGCTAGGAAGTCGAAAGGATCACGGATGACCTGGAGCGAATGCTTAGCTCACGGCGAGGAGTTCAGGGAGCTCTATGCAGATGCAGATCAAGATGTCTACGCCGAAGCCTACACTGATTGGCGGCATAGTGGAGGTCAGCATCAACATGAGCAAGTACAACAACCTTACGAACTGTGGTGGGGAGGCGGCAGCAGAGCGAGCCCCTTTACGCCAGACGAGCTCTGCCAGTACATCGTTCAGCACGGGTGGCCGAAGGACAGCGCCGTGTTCGACGTTGACCTCGTCGAGAGGAGGGCCACCCCAGATTTCAAGACCAAGTTCACGGACACAGACGAGATCGACCCTTGGGGTATGTCACGTTCGGCGAGGAATGCCGACAGACCTGGGTCGAGGGTTCCAGCAGCCTGGGATGTCGTGGAAAAGGGCATCTACAATTTCTTGCTGTCTATCAATGCTGGCAAGGGCGAGGATGACGCCTCGGACGTAATGTTGATCATTGCAGGCCGAGCTGTCCACGGTGATGGCCACATGAGGTTTGCGAGCTTGGTCACCGACGTCACCTTCAACCCGCACGTCTTCGACGTGACGTTGAACGAGTTCGAGAAGCATGCCGACGTAGTGTCGGAGGAGACGCGTCGGGCTCGGAATGGCCGCCGCCCGCGCCGCCCGTTGCCCGGTAAAAATATATGTTTCGGGCCCCGATTTTTCGCCGCCCGCGGCGCCCGTTCCCCTGTAAACAGTTATTTTTTCTGGCCCCGACGTTTCGTTAAATCGGGGGTCTGGCGGTCCTGGACTGGGGGAGTTTTTCTCGCGGGCATGGTCAGCGCGGGGCGGCGGCCACTCTGTGCTCAAGGAGTTGGTGCTACCGTCTTGGGTGAATATCGCGGGGCGGCAGAGCAGGGTCAGCGTCAGGCATCGAGCTATCGATACCAACACGTCGGACGAATGGATAAACTTACTCATCGACAAGCTGCAGCATATGGACATGTACATCGCCGATTACGAGATCTGCCACGACACAGGGACGCTGAGGAGATCAAAAATCATAGGTTTGAAGCTCATCGGCCGCCTCTGGGATCCAAGCATGAAGAAACCTTTGGCATTTTATCGTCGAGGTGGAGGCGATCCGAAGATGCGCGAGGGCGACCCCTTCGGCGAGGAGGCCCAGGCGATGGCAGACCGAGATCTTGCACGGCAGCGCGGGGGCCGAGGACGTGGCAACAGAGGACGTGGAGGCCGAGCACGTGGGCGCGGACGTGGACGTGCAGTCGCAGGTGCTTTGCCTGAGGGCCCCCTGCCGCCTGGAGTACCCGAAGAACCCCTGCCCATCGCCGACGAGCCAGAGCCATTCGTACGCGAGGACCCGCCTGACCTTCATGATGAGCGTGCTCTCGACATGGCTGATTCGGACTGCCAGTCTGAGATCGAGGAGGTGGAGGAGCTCGAGGCAGTCCACATGGAGGGGAAGCTGCCCGACTACATGGCCGAATGGCAACATCCACCAGTGGTCCCAGGCCCTCTCCACGTAGATGGTCGCCCGCCTGCCGATGATTTTCTAGACGAGGAACAGGGTGCAGCAATGGCCGAGGCAGCGTTTTCTTTTTTGGAGGAGGTCGAAGGGGCCCCAGGGGATCCAGCTGCGGGGTCTTCCACGGATGGTCCACCACTCCCTCCCCCGCCAGATCCCCCTCAGGAGCCTTGGCACCTTTTGTCAGATCAGAGCCCTCAAGGTTACTATCATCTAGGTGGTAGGCAGGTTTTGCGTGTACAGCGGGGCAGGCCAGTCAATTCGGTTACGATAACCTGCTACCGTCACAGAGGATGTTCAATCTGTGTGCCAGGGCACTTGTGCGGCACGGATGAGGACATATTTAAATGGTTGTTCGAGGTGGAGCCGACGCCTGACGGCGCCCATGCATCCGTGAACAACCATTGGCAAAGCAGCATATGGATTCTGGTAGGGCGAAGTGGAGTGCGAAGGCCCACAAAGCGAAGGCTAAGGCTAAGGCCGCGGCCTGAGTGATGCAAGCTCGAGGTGGGTGATCCCAGCCCAAACCCTCATAAACCACAAGCACGCACACACATAAACAAAACACACGCACACATAACAAGCTTGCGCCGCTCAGGAAGGAGTAGGCAAACGCCCTCAACCCCTGACCCTCTGCCAGCAGTCGGGGAGTGATGAGGGGGCGGATGCTGGTGGACTGGGGCGAGGCGGACGTGGAGGAGAGGGGGAGCGAGGGAGGAGGAGGCAGGGAAGGACTAATACAGGAATGACGGGGGGAGCGCGAAGAGGAAGGGGGGGACACGAGGAGGGGGAGGGGGAGGCGACGGAGGAACGCCTCTTGCACGCTGGCGAGAGACACGCTGCGGCCCATGCAGGGCGCACAAAGGCATTTGGCCGTTCTGGAAAAAAACACATCTTGACATATTATGCGTTTCCTGTGAGACATCCCACTTGTTCCAATGCATAAGCCTTGGAGTTACAGACGAATCCATATCAGAAGCGCAACAGGCATCAGTATCACCAT